AATTATGGAAACTACCCTGAAAGGTTTGTGTTTACAAAGGTATTGCACTGTTTAGTAATGAAATACTTTTGGGACATAAGGTAATTTTCAAAGGATTTGTAAACAGCCCTGCACAATGACACACTATTATGAGTGTTCTTGTATTACTTTCATAGAAGCTCCAACCTGCTGATTATATTATTATAAAATCTATATCAGCTGCCACATGAGATCCTCAGGCAGTTTTTATTCAATTTAAAACAATCTCTACCAATTTTCCACACTCTCAGAACTATTGTTATCAGGAGGCACCAGAGAAGAACTTCATTCAATTAATTGTGAAGAAATAAACATTTGAGTTTTCTTGTTTTTGTCATTTCATAACATATCCAGTTAGGTGTTATAGTTTATAGTTTAAGTGAGGAAAATAATTTAGTTTAGAAGAATGTGTTCTGACAACATTGTCAGATATTCTTCAAAATATTTTGCTGCTTCTCAGTAAGGCGATAATTGATGTTTCAGCTTTTATGTGCCAAATTGGTTCATTTACAGAAGAAAAGCGACTTGTGAGAAAGTGTTTTGGTGTATATTAGAGTGTGTCTAGGTTGTCGCTGAAGGGGACATTTAAGAACACTGTGACATCTTGGCTGCATAACCTTAAAGTGAAAGGTTAAACAGTTGGGAGTAAACAAGGTTTGAGGAAGGGTATAAATATCACTCATACCATTGCGAGCTCTATTGTAAGCAAACCGTGAACTCTCTTCAGCCCAAAATAGTAATTTCAGAAATCTGCTGGAGTAAAACACCAATGATTTGATTTCACAATATAAAAAAGCTTTTATTTATACATAATTTCAAATACTACACTACACTACATGACTGATTTATTTGTGTTGTCTTAATGGGGTTCAGTGATTATATTTGATTTGAGAAGAACACATTTTATGACAAACAATAGTCTTTTTACACATCTGAAATCTCAATTTGTGGTTACAAATCTACATTTTTATTTGATTCAATACTTTGACAGTATCAAGTTCATAGGTGGGCCAAGGTGACACAGACAGACACTTTCAGTCGCTCCCTTTTGTTGCATCCAGTATCATTGCAGAGCGATTCTGAGGCTGCAGAGATAAACAGTCTGTATCCATATGTGAAATGGCTGAAATAGAGGTGTGAGTTTGAGACCACATGTGCTTGTATGTGTTATATAGAGGCATGTGTGTATCTTTACATGTGCTTAAGTGTGTGATCATTCCTGTAAAAGGATTGGTACATGTGAAGGTCAACAGCTCTGGAGCTTTTTGAGTCACACAGTTATGAACAATAAAGGTGATTTTAAGTCGAGATAATTTTCTCTGTCAATGTGACTCCAACACAAGACCCACATAATGCATGTTTTCTACTTGTTATGATTACTGGTTTTCTCAAAAGTAACTGAAGATAATTGCTGGGGATGATAGAAGGTCTCCTCATAAGTCTCAAACATCCCAGGCCCATAGTTAAATTAAATAAGTAAATAGATCTGTATTGGTTGTGAAACCTTTCATACACACCTTTCAGAAAGACTCATAATCATCAGCATGTATATGTTGTTCCTTGGCCTTCAAATAAAACTTATGTCATCAATTATTAATCCTCATGTCATTCTAAACTCAGAAGACTTTCATAAATGAAGACGATTTAAAAGAAACCTGAGAGATTTATGTCCCTCTCTTGAAAGTCCACGCAACCAAAACGTTGACGATTCATAAACTTCACAAGGACATTGCAAAATTAATAAATATGATTTGTTTAATCCAAATCTTTTGAAAAGACATGACCAAGCACTTTGAGTGTACGTGTATCATGTCTGAATTCCTTTGCATGTGTTGATCAAAATGTATATGTAAATTAAAAACTTAATTAAATCTGTTCATCATATAAACTGATCATGTCTCTTCAGAAGATTCATATTTATTACTTTTACTTTTACTATTGCTATTTACTATTACGACTTTCGATGGAGGAACAGAAATCTCTCAGGTTTTGTTAAAAATGGCAATTTGTGTTTCAAAGATGAAAGAAAGTCTTATGAGTTTGGAACAACATGAGGGCGAGTGAATGACGACATTTTGTGGTTAACTAGACCTTTAACATAGGTGAAGCTAGCTTTTTTTTATTCCAAATGCTTTAGGTTGTATGTTAAGCATTAGTTTAGTAACAAGACCAAGAGTATATTCAGTAAAACTAACAACAGTGGGTCAAGAATTAATAATACATTTTTCAGCAGTGGACTGCTTCTTTAAGTTCAGTTTTCTGGTGTTTTCTCCATTTCAAATATAAAGACTCTGGTTTATTTTAAGCTTGGACACAAAGAAAACAGAAAAGACCATCTACAGCGGGATAAGAAATTGATTCTGAATGAACTGCAGGACCATAGAAGATGGGAAAGTCGTTCTACATCCACCAATGAAAGTTTACACCAAAGACATAAGGAGATTCAATTACTGTGACAACCTTGGCCAAGAGGTGCTTGAAACATCCTTGGCATTTCAAGCCTTGAGTGTCCAAATTCACTATCAAAGTGTAGGTCCAAAGTCCCTGAAGTCATTAGCAGCCTGCCACTGCTCTGTTTGTACAAACACTCTCCTCTAACACCAAGCTGGGAGTGGTAGTATATCCGTACAAGTGGTAACAACTGGAGATAGTCCACCATTTCTGACTTTAAAAAAAGATTAGTTCTAGCCTGAAGGACAAGCTAAGTGATCATTATTTGAATGATCAAGTGTTCAATGTTATTCTTTTGGGTTTTACTGTTAAATTTATCTGTGTAGGGCTGAAATTTACTTCAAATAAACGTCATTGTTCGCATTCCGCTCCATTTCGCACACAGACGTGTCCTCACAGCTTTCAAAGTATACTCAACCATGGAGGAGCATGGATGGATGAGTTTGACACATACACACTACCATCTAGTGGACTATTCTTTCTCTCAACATTCACCTGTATACATTCATACTGTACACGTTAGAGCAGACACAAAAATGTGGCTGCACATGGACCCTTTACATCAAAATTACCGGCCGAAGTATACGTATACTGTATACTGTAAAATATGTGTGACAGGTTAAGCGTCTTTAATATTAATGTTTTTATGTTTTTTTTAATAATTTGTTTCCATTTTAATGGTTGTGTATATTTTACATGGAAAGACACGCCCACTGGCGGGGAGCTGCGTCTTGACATTGAGCTCACCTGTGCGGCGCAATCACTGAGGTGTGTTAGTGGCTTTATAAAATGCAGGTCTAAGTGTGGCATTTTGATTCTTTTTCTGTGTTCCTTGGCCTTCAAATAAAACTTATGTCATCAATTATTAATCCTCATGTCATTCTAAACTCAGAAGACTTTCATAAATGAAGACGATTTAAAAGAAACCTGAGAGATTTATGTCCCTCTCTTGAAAGTACACGCAACCAAAACGTTGACGATTCATAAACTTCATAAGGACATTGCAAAATTAATAAATATTTGTTTAATCAAAATCTTTTGAAAAGACATGACCAAGCACTTTGAGTGTACGTGTATCATGTCTGAATTCCTTTGTATGTGTTGATCAAAATGTATATGTAAATTAAAAACTTAATTAAATCTGTTCATCATATAAACTGATCATGTCTCTTCAGAATATTCATATTTATTACTTTTACTATTGCTATTTACTATTACTATTACTATTATGACTTTCGATGGAGGAACAGAAATCTCTCAGGTTTCGTTAAAAATGGCAATTTGTGTTTCAAAGATGAAAGAAAGTCTTATGAGTTTGGAACAACATGAGGGCGAGTGAATGACGACATTTTGTGGTTAACTAGACCTTTAACATAGGTGAAGCTAGCTTTTTTTTATTCCAAATGCTTTAGGTTGTATGTTAAGCATTAGTTTAGTAACAAGACCAAGAGTATATTCAGTAAAACTAACAACAGTGGGTCAAGAATTAATAATAAATTTTTCAGCAGTGCACTGCTTCTTTAAGTTCAGTTTTCTGGTGTTTTCCCCATTTCAAATATAAAGACTCTGGTTTATTTTAAGCTTGGACACAAAGAAAACAGAAAAGACCATCTACAGCGGGATAAGAAATTGATTCTGAATGAACTGCAGGACCATAGAAGATGGGAAAGTCGTTCTACATCCACCAATGAAAGTTTACACCAAAGACATAAGGAGATTCAATTACTGTGACAACCTTGGCCAAGAGGTGCTTGAAACATCCTTGGCATTTCAAGCCTTGAGTGTCCAAATTCACTATCAAAGTGTAGGTCCAAAGTCCCTGAAGTCATTAGCAGCCTGCCACTGCTCTGTTTGTACAAACACTCTCCTCTAACACCAAGCTGGGAGTGGTAGTATATCCGTACAAGTGGTAACAACTGGAGATAGTCCACCATTTCTGACTTTAAAAAAAGATTAGTTCTAGCCTGAAGGACAAGCTAAGTGATCATTATTTGAATGATCAAGTGTTCAATGTTATTCTTTTGGGTTTTACTGTTAAATTTATCTGTGTAGGGCTGAAATTTACTTCAAATAAACGTCATTGTCCGCATTCCTCTCCATTTCGCACACAGACGTGTCCTCACAGCTTTCAAAGTATACTCAACCATGGAGGAGCATGGATGGATGAGTTTGACACATACACACTACCATCTAGTGGACTATTCTTTCTCTCAACATTCACCTGTATACATTCATACTGTACACGTTAGAGCAGACACAAAAATGTGGCTGCACATGGACCCTTTACATCAAAATTACCGGCCGAAGTATACGTATACTGTATACTGTAAAATATGTGTGACAGGTTAAGCGTCTTTAATATTAATGTTTTTATGTTTTTTTTAATAATTTGTTTCCATTTTAATGGTTGTGTATATTTTACATGGAAAGACACGCCCACTGGCGGGGAGCTGCGTCTTGACATTGAGCTCACCTGTGCGGCGCAATCACTGAGGTGTGTTAGTGGCTTTATAAAATGCAGGTCTAAGTGTGGCATTTTGATTCTTTTTCTGTGTGCATGTTTTGTGGGCAGAAAAAGGTCTTTGGGCTTATATTTCCTGTCGCTTGCCCCTGGTGAGTCGCCTGGGTTTATAGTTTTTTTCCACAGTAGCAGATCAGTCTAAATATGTTTGTTATTAGGGATGTGTGTGCGTGAAGGACGAGCACAGGTAGCATAAAGTTACAATAGTCTAAGAATCTCGCTTGGGAGGTAAGCAACTTTATTGTGGGTTCTTTTTTTGGGGGGGGGGGGGGGAGATGGGTGAAACTGGTGCACTATTTATTTTTTGTTTTTTTATATATTTGTATTTCAGGTGCGGCCTAAGGGTGCTAAGTGGTGTTTCATAGGCCTGGTTCATATACCCGTTTCATGTGGCTGTTTCACCATCCTGTGTACGGCCGACTGTGTGGACGTCGCAGTTTTCAACCGCTATTTACAGAGTGTTTCTAAGACTATTCTGCCCAATTAGTCTGTACGATATGTTTGAGTAAGTTTTGGAATTTTTATTTTTTTTTGTCTGTGGTACAAGTATATTAAACTAACAGGCTTTGTATTCTGGTTCAGTGAAGCCGCTTGGACGATTTTTAAATATTAATTGATTTTCTTTTTTTTCTTTTTTTTATTTGTATTATTTGGAAAGTCACGTCTCTGTCTTTTAACCCCATTCAAACCAGCAGGGTCCATTTGTCATGTAAAATAGGCTGCTATTAAGAGATGACAACATGATGTGAATTTCACTGGAAACTATTTGCTGCTTCATCTGAATGCTTTCATGCATAGTCTCTCACACACACATACACGCGCAAAAAAAATAAAAATAACCAGAACAATGACAAAGCCCTGGAAATATTCTTGACAAAACACAATTTCCATCTAACAACAGTGGGTCAAGAATTAATAATAAATTTTTCAGCAGTGGACTGCTTCTTTAAGTTCAGTTTTCTGGTGTTTTCCCCATTTCAAATATAAAGACTCTGGTTTATTTTAAGCTTGGACACAAAGAAAACAGAAAAGACCATCTACAGCGGGATAAGAAATTGATTCTGAATGAACTGCAGGACCATAGAAGATGGGAAAGTCGTTCTACATCCACCAATGAAAGTTTACACCAAAGACATAAGGAGATTCAATTACTGTGACAACCTTGGCCAAGAGGTGCTTGAAACATCCTTGGCATTTCAAGCCTTGAGTGTCCAAATTCACTATCAAAGTGTAGGTCCAAAGTCCCTGAAGTCATTAGCAGCCTGCCACTGCTCTGTTTGTACAAACACTCTCCTCTAACACCAAGCTGGGAGTGGTAGTATATCCGTACAAGTGGTAACAACTGGAGATAGTCCACCATTTCTGACTTTAAAAAAAGATTAGTTCTAGCCTGAAGGACAAGCTAAGTGATCATTATTTGAATGATCAAGTGTTCAATGTTATTCTTTTGGGTTTTACTGTTAAATTTATCTGTGTAGGGCTGAAATTTACTTCAAATAAACGTCATTGTCCGCATTCCTCTCCATTTCGCACACAGACGTGTCCTCACAGCTTTCAAAGTATACTCAACCATGGAGGAGCATGGATGGATGAGTTTGACACATACACACTACCATCTAGTGGACTATTCTTTCTCTCAACATTCACCTGTATACATTCATACTGTACACGTTAGAGCAGACACAGAAATGTGGCTGCACATGGACCCGTTACATCAAAATTACCGGCCGAAGTATACGTTGGACTTAAGCGTTAGCAACTCCAAGGTTATGGGTTTGATTCCAAAGGAGTGCATTAAGTGGTCAATTGTGCAAATGTAGATGGTGGATAGAGTTTAGAATAGAATGTTCTTGGTATATATTTAAGCAAAATGTTCATGATGAAGGATGTTATTCTCAGTATTGATGGAAACAGACAGTGAGAAAATAAATGGTTTCTTTAAAGCTGACATTGGAGGGTAAATAAGGTTAAGATGGGATAGCTGTAGGTAAGCGGAAAGTAAAATGATTTAAGATTATGATTTAACAGATTTAGAATGAACTTGAAAGGGAGTGTGAGAATTTATTCCACCTAAATCCTCTGACAATGTTAGTGTCCTGAAATACACAAAGGTTCAGTCAAAGGAAAATGTCAAAATGCAGGATTATTTTTTAAAGTCTTGTTTGCAAAGTCTTGCTGTTTAGGAACTGAAAACTGTCAAATATGTGTGACAGGTTAAGCGTCTTTAATATTAATGTTTTTATGTTTTTTTTTAATAATTTGTTTCCATTTTAAAGGTTGTGTATATTTTACATGGAAAGACACGCCCACTGGTGGGGAGCTGCGTCTTGACATTGAGCTCACCTGTGCGGCGCAATCACTGAAGTGTGTTAGTGGCTTTATAAAATGCAGGTCTAAGTGTGGCATTTTGATTCTTTTTCTGTGTGCATGTTTTGTGGGCAGAAAAAGGTCTTTGGGCTTATATTTCCTGTATTTATTTTTTGTTTTTTTTATATATTTGTATTTCAGGTCCGGCCTAAGGGTGCTAAGTGGTGTTTCATAGACCTGGTTCATATACCCGTTTCATGTGGCTGTTTCACCATCCTGTGTACGGCCGACTGTATGGATGTCGCAGTTTTCAACCGCTATTTACAGAGTGTTTCTAAGACTATTCTGCCCAATTAATCTGTACGATATGTTTGAGTAAGTTTGAATTTTTTTTTTTTTTTTTTTTGGTTTAAAGTTATTTAAATTAAAAGTTTTATTTTTTTTGACATAGTTCTTAGTTCTGTCACTGTAAGTTACATGCACTACAGATTGCTTCTATTGATTACCAGTGTTGGGAGTAACGCATTACAAAAGTAATAATATTACAGTAGTATATTACGGTTTGCTATAACGCATTACTAATAAAATTTGGGTAATATTATTACTCGTTACAATCTCAGTAACGCAACTTACAACAACATATTTTAACACTAAATTAAGTGGTGAATTTACCAACACCGCAAAACAGCACCAGAGAAAAAAATTGGGTAAACTAGTTTGTCTATCTTCTGTTGCTGGAACTAGATGGTTGAGATGACTGCAGAGATGGAATCTACATTTGTGAGATGGACACACTCCTGTTATTTTCAGTTTATCGGAGAAAAGGATAAGAATGCTTCGCAATATGTGCAACACCAAACTCTCAACATGGAGAAATAGCATGAGTAAAACCTGGAAACACCTGGACTGGTGCCACTAACACTAAGCTATCGGAGAGAGCTGCGGGGTCAGAGAAGTGAAAAAGGGGGGCGGACGAGCGCAGACAAGCAACAAAAATTAAGTTTAACTAAAAATAATCTGTTTTTATTAAATCATATTCTATATGTAAAATGAATGAATATGCAAAATATTTGACTTAAATAGCCTGATTAACAAAACGAAAGGAAAAGACAGAGATATGCTGCTGAGTTTGGTTGGCGCGGCGCTCGATGAATGTCCACGGAAAGGAAACCGAGATAACAGAAATAAAAGTAAACACATTGCAGTTTCGAATGATCTGTATGACCAAAGATGACGGAATATTTTTGTTGTTTGTTTACGCTGTTTGATCGCGCCGGCGCCTCACGCGCACACAGCATTGCAAACGTTGCAGCCTGTTCATTATCAGAATAAAATATAGTCAACCAAACATATAGATTCACTGGTTAATTTAAATAGTGCGTACTGCGCAGTAGCTACAATCGGTGCCGTTCAGCCTGAGCTCGTGCTTATCCTTGTTTATCCTAAACTACAACGTAACATTAATGTAGACCTACATACCGGCATCTAAATTTGATTTTATAATTTCATGCTATATAGACCTACCACATTACTCTCCACTGGGTGTAGAATGAGCAGCAATAGATTACATTTTGGCATTTTATAATACTTATGTGGATATTTTGGTGAAAGTAACTCAAAAGTAGTCTAACGCATTACAATTCAGAGACAGTAATACTGTAATGTAACTAATTACTTTTAAAAGACAGTAACTAGTAATATATAATGTATTACATTTTGGAAGTAACTTGCCCAACACTGTTGATTACTAAAGCAATAACTATTTAAGTAATTCCAAGCTGTTCCAAAATAATTACTTTTACAGTATGTGTTGTTCATTCTTATTACTTAGTCATGTGATTAAACATTAGCACAACCATTGCAATACAACATGTGGCCTACTAATCTCGTAACCACGTCTTATCCAAAGGTTGCTTCCTCATTTTCACCTTCCCATCTCTATCAGCTTTTGTCTCTTTTTCTAGATCTCAAATCAGTGAGTGAGGATCTGTTGGGAATCATCTGCATAGCATTCTCTCTCTGCTCTGGCTCCCTGTGGAGAGTTGTGCCACAAGGCAGCCCTCTTTCTCTGTAGTCAACAAATCATCAAAAATATGCTGCACTGCTCTGTCACCATCCCTCAAACACTCTCAACATCCTGTGGTTCTGTTAGTGTGCTGGTTTATGTTGTATTGCGATTTAAAAAACGAGGTATTGTTTTCAATTTTTTATGCAGGAACTGTACATTTGACAAGATGTATTAAAGTCACATTTTCAGAATGATACCGTGTAAACTTTGAGGAATAGTTCACACAAAAATGACAACTCTGCCCTTATTTACTCAACCTCATGCTGTTGCAAATCTGAATTTCAGTGTGCATGTACTGCTCAATAGTAAGTTCAGTGTACAGGATGATGTCTCTATCTTTTAATACAATGACAAAAGTTTTGTTTCTGTTCTAAATTTAAAGTCATCGGACGGCTGTCTGCTTTTTTTCCCAAAGAAAACTGAAAGTCAGGCAAGGTTTGGAACAATATGAGGGTGAGAGAATGACTGGATTTTCATTAGTTTTTTTTTACATGACATGTACCTGTTTAGAAAACACTTTCATCCAAAATGGTGTTTTGCGTTGAGGTCACATTTCCTGGGACTTTTATCTAAAGCAATGTACATTCCATTCAAGGTGCACTATTATGCCTTACTATGTAAACTACAGGAATGCTAAAGCACTACAGGAAAGGTATATTTTGGGGTGAATCGTTACTTTAAATAGAATAAACTGTAATGAACATAAAAATTAATCGATAACTTATTCATACAAATAATTAAATGTATGTTTAAAACATATTAACCCTTAAATGCATGAATGTTTCGCCAATCATTATTACATATTCAGGTCTTTAGCGATCCGGACCAATATATCCTGCACGGATGGATCTCTAACTGCTGCAATAGCCAAAAAACTCTCTTGATATTTTAAGAACAATTATAGAAGAATAAAATAAAGCATATTTCGTTACCCTTTGAAACTTAAAAGGGTTCAATTCACCACATCCAGCATCAAATGACAGTGACATTTATATTTAATTGCGTATAGTAATTTCTCTGCAGTAAAGCCATTTATCAAATCAGTTCAATTTTTGGTGATGATATTCATTTGTTTTATGCCTGCCATAATTATGAGTGAAATGTCACATCATCGTTGTGTATCAAACAGTGCCACCTTGAGGAAAAAAGATGCATTGCACAAATTGAGTCATCAGATATGTAAATATAGTTGCGCAGGAAAAAATACTTACACATTTACATACCTGGGGTCTCTAGCGACCCGATACACTTTTTACAAGAAATTAATCAGAAAACTGGCATTCTTTTATATTTTACAAATTTTTTCTGTTATTTTGTTTAGAATTAATAGATTGAGGAATACTAAGAAAGTTGATGTCTAACTTTAAAAAATGAAGAAGGGAGAGAGGGTAGAGAATGATGTCCCGGGTCGCTATAGACCAGGGTATGCATTTAAGGGTTAACCAGATCACATTTAAGGTACTCTAGTAGATCAAAAAATTGCTTTGCATCCACAAATGCCAGTATTATC